CCTGCTCATTTGTACTTTAGATCTGCCAGCCTTTTGAGCCAATCCTCTATCCAAGCCAATATATTATCCTACCCACTGTCATTTTTATTAACCTATTTCTTTTTGAAAACACAACTGACAAATTCTTACCTCCATGAAGGATAGGTATATTGGCATGAAAATGCATTGTTTGCTACACAGGTATGAGAGGGTTTCTTCCTAGCAACAAGTAATTTGGAAGAGGCGGTGGGGAGGGGAGATAAACATCACCCAGACTGCTGGGAGAATTCTTGTTCTTCGTTAAATAGTGTGTGGAGTTCTTACATCCACCTGCGGCGATGTGCATATCAGGAATTCTCAGGCACTTTTCCAATGATATATTTTACCACTAAGAGTGCCTGTGATGCCTCAAAATAAAATAACTTCCGGGTAAAACTCCATGAAAACCCATCCTTCACTCAGTCACATCAACCTAACGACCCCAGATGGATGTTTTACCCTCAAAATACAACGCAAAGTCCCTGAATCATATATAATTTAAAAAGACATGAATTATTCAGTCACAGGAAATCAGCAATTCTCATATGTTAAAACATTCTTTTTGCCAGCAATGGCAGTGGCCAACACCCATCAGAAGTGATTCTGTTCAGTTAACATGTTAAACAAAAGTCTGCCCATAAAATCCCAGAGGTTGAGGTCTTCTTGTAAATGCAACCTTCGATGAGATGCCGCACAATATTCATTCTCTGATTTGATTCGATTTATTGCAGTCACGTGTACCTAAGTACAGTGAAAAGCTTTGTTTTGCAAGCAGTACAGGGAGATCATAGCAAAACAAGGACATACAGATCATAGGCTGCTTAGACAGAGCGAGGCATACAAGGTTACACTGCATAGGAGACGGCAAAGCAAGGTCAACATTAACAACATCGACATTATTTGAAGTTAAAGTGTCCGTTCATTAGTCTGATAGCGGCAGGGAAGAAGCTGTTCTTGAGAGGTTATAGGAGAGCATTACCGGGGTGGGAGGGGTCTTTGATGATGTTGGTAGCCTTTCCACAGCACTGAGAAGTGAAAATGAAGTCCGTAGATAGTACGTTGGCTTTCATGAGGGTCTGGGCTGTACACACAACCTTCTGTAGTTTCTTACAGTCCTGGACAGATAGTTGCAGTACCAGGCTGTTATGCAGCCGGATAGAATGCTTTCTATGGTGCATTTGTAAAAACTGCTGCTGCTTTCCCTATGGGTCTGGGCACTGGGGTCAACAATGAGTTAAAATGTAGTTGAGCTATTGCTTCAATTTTGGCTCCCTCTTTCTACTGGACAAGGACACTAACAGCATCCTAATACTTACCATGAACACGGTAAAAACAAGCTTACCTGTGATTCAACAGACAACTGCATTACTAACTTGGTTTCAAGATGACTGCTTTTGTATTGTTCAGCTAGTTCATTTGTACAACTCAGGAACTGGCAGCGTTCCTTTGTGTATCTTCCATTTGTAAATCTAGCGCATCATTGCCACTCCCAGTGATGTTGACAGCTGAATGGTTACTCTCTGAAACCATCCATTACTCACTATTCATCAAAACGTAGCCCTGTTCTTACTTCATATTCCCACCAGTTATTGTGACAGGAATCTACAAATAGTGAAATACTTACACTTATGGATATTTTTAATCAATCTGTTCAGACGCATCTCTGGAGCAGGTGGGACTTGAACCCAAGACTGAGGGAGGGACACAATCACCGTGCCACAAGAGATTTCTATCTGTGAATTGAATTGTATTAGGTTTCTTGTCACATGTACTCATGTGAATACAGTGAAAAGTTTACAAGTCGCCACTTATGGTGTCATCTTAGGTTCAAAGGAACCTAGATACAGATTCTCGTGTACAAATTCTTAGGAAAAAAATTAGAAAATAAAGAAATGAAAAGTCCAGCATTACAGACATTTAAATGTACAAAATCATAGTAATAAATTAGAAAAATAAAAAGGTAAAAAGTTCAGAATAATAGTGTCTTTTGTATTTTCAGGATGCCCCAAAATCTTCCAGGCCAATGGAATGAATTCTTCTCTTCCCAATAGTCCTCAGCAGAATCAGCCTCAAGTGACATCCAATTCCGAGCTGAGGAACTGAATCTGCACTGTCGATGTAACCAAACTAACTGGCCTGTGGGAAGCTACAAGCATGAAAGCACAAAGTTTTATTTGACATGACAGGTGGCAGGCACAATCACGCCATGTCAGAGGGTTAGCCATGATGAAGATTTACAAGCAGTTGTGTACATAGAATCCCTCTTCACGTGACATTCCTTGAAGACTGATTCATCTCCTCTCCTGGCAGCGAGGTGCTGGCCCAGCGTTACTAATATAAACTAGGCTTCATCTTTAGGAACGCAGGAGGGTAACCTCCATGTAACACACACACACACACACACAGAGTTGTTGATCTGAAATCATTGCACTTTGTACGGAGACACACCTTTGCAGTTGCCTACAGTGAGCAGCAACACGGGATGCCCAGGGAAATTACCAAAATGTGCTGAATTCTAACTTTAAAACGACTGAAATTGTATCCACGATCAAAACGTGCTTCCTTCTTACCACTTAGATGTGACATTTTACTATGGGCTAAAAAGCCGGGTATTCAGATTATGACAAATTGAAATGAAATGTTTCTGTTTGAATGTTCCAAGGCGTTAATCACAATGAGTAGTGTACAGCCGGTACTTACTGTGGAAACAAAGCCGCCTCTATTACTCATCAAGGCTGCACTGTCCTATGCAGATCTGCAGGACTCTGGGAAAATTTCTAATCCGTGGTTATGGCTTATTTGAGACAGGGCACCACTGCTGTCCATGCCTCTGGATGAGGGTAAAACAATGAGCCACAGTTCTCACACTTGCTTAGTAGCAAACCGTTTCAGATGGATTGTGCTGTGGGGCCCTCCTGGTACAGAAGACAACTACCAGAAACCTGTGTGCAAAGAGAAAGTACACCCGCAGGGAGCTTTTGAATAGGCGAGCTGGTTCGATCATCCAATTAGAAAATATACTTCCACTTCCATAACATCACACCTCCAGCAACCCATCTGCTGCCAAAGCCTTCACCGAGGCCTTTGTTAGCTGCAAACTAAACCATTCCCCGATTCTCCTCCCATTTGAGCAGGTGGATTACTTTGTGCTGGATGGTTTGAAGCTGGAATGTTAGACCAACAGCACTATCTGAGTAAGTGGAGGGCAGGCAATGCAAGTGCGTTGCTCCGGCCCTTTGTGGGGGCAGTTGGAAAAAGTGGGATCATGATGTGAGCCATTCTCGCTGGACAATCTGTAACCAATCATCTGTTTGATTAGCTAGATCGCCGAGTTTGAGTCGTGGACCGTTCGAGTTTCTGGATTGGCCAGGTTGGGTACTTGGAGCAGGCTCGGGGAGTTCAGGTCTCCAACAATGCAACTGGGCTGTTCTTGGGGCCCATGACCTTGGCTGTGTCCTGTACACATAGCCGCTTCCTGAGAGTATGTGGAGTGGATCAAACCGTACAACGATTGGCACTGGTGATGATTGGGACAAGGATCATCCTCCACTCATTGTTTCTGACACCCTCTGGCAAAGGAGGTTGCAGTGAGCTCTCACTGAACCAACACCACAGTGATCTAGCTTGATGGTGATGGAAGGAGAGATATGCAGAGTCATAAATTTACAGATTTCAATGGCTAGAATCTTTCTTAAACCTATATCACAAAGCACCAAAGTAGATGGTATCTTCAGTGGAAAAGCAAGACTTGATTTCCATCACAAGGACCACTATGCAGTCATTGTAGAGAAGGGACTAGTTAGCTCAGGTGGCTGGATAGCTGGCTTGCAATGCAGAGTGACTTCAATAGCAGGGGCTCAATATTCCCACACCATACCATCACCACAGTGCAGAAAGAGGCCATTCAGCCCATCCAGCCCATCATGAAGAGCATCCCACCCAGACATCCCCCCCCTTCCTTCCCTATCCCTGTAACCCTGAATTTCCCCATGTCTAACCTGTGTAGCCTGCACATCCCTGGACAATTTGGGCACGGCCAATCCATCCAACCTGCACGTCTTTGGACAGTGGGAGGAAACCGGAGCATCCAGTGGAAACACACACAGACACAGGGAGAACGTACAAACTCCACACGGACAGTTGCCTTGAGGCGTGGTGACTCTCAGGTTAAACTAGCACCAGTCGTCTCTCTCTCTGATGAGATCGCAGCCCTATGCTCTGGTACAACTACAGTGATTTTTCACCTTGTAGAGGCCCAAAACCTGACTGCAGTCAAATCCCATAGATCCCACGTCTGCCCTTTCTAAATTCACTTCTCTGCATAATAACTATTATACACCTTTTTAATCACTGCAAGGTTAATCTTAGTTTATGTGCAATTTTAAAGGGAAAACTATTTTTACAGCATGGAAGACACCCTTCAGCCCATCATGTCTGCACTGGTAACTAACATCTGTCTACTCTAATCCCATTTTCCAACACTTGGCCTGTAGCTGTGAATGCTGTGGTGATTGAAGTGCTCATCCAGATAATTCTTAAAATGCCGAGGGTCCCCGTCTCTACCAGCCTTTCATGCAGCGAGTTCCAGATATTCACCACGCTCTGGGGTGAAAACTGATTAGAAAGCCCTGGATTAGAAAGTCTCTCATACGAGGAGCCACTGGGTTGCTAATGGGTTCCATTCTCAAGTCGATTTTTACACAAGTTGGAAGACAATGCAGAACAAAATAAAATAGCTATTCATATGTACTAGGAACATTCATACATCAGATCTTTAAAATTACAGCTCTGTACGGGATTGAGTTTGTAAGTGCGAGCGTTCGAAGTGTAAATTTGTAAATCGGGGTCCGCCTGTATAGCGCCCATGCAGCCTGCCACATTCATCATTTGTAAGAATCACCATTTGCGAGGGTTTTGAGGAACATAAACCAGCAGGATTTTACTGAAGTTTCTGTTTTTCTTAAAAGGAAAAGTAATAAAGCTGGACAAGAACCATCAGGTTTAATGATTGTAAAAGTCCTTAGCTGAATAACAAAGCAGGGACAATTTTTTTTTTTTAAAAAAACCTTGCCTTTACGAAGCATTCCACCACATCTGTAAAATATCGCGATCCCCTTCACGCAGTGAGTGCTGGAATACAGTAAATGGTTACTCAGGCAAACACAAAATTCTCACACAAACATCCACAAATAATGTTAAGACGAGATACCAGCAAATCTGATTTAGTTGGTGTAGGTTGAGGGTAAAACATTAATCAGAAGACTGGCAGAACACTCTGAATCTGAGTATTACCATGGGGCTGTTAAATACCTGACAACTGGAACAGGCACATTGAGCTATGTCTCAATATCTCAACTGAGGGATGCACTTCCCAACTGCAGCAGTTTTGAAGCTATATTACACAGACAATTTGTTTTCTACATTTTGATTCACAGAATTCAACAAACATTTTGCATTAAAAGTTACCATCTCATATAAATTTGTATTTGGTTTACAAATTACTTCCCATTTTTCTGTCCCATTACAGTATTCAAAAGTTTCAAAATTTCAATAAGCTCAGACGCCTGGGAGGGTTAGAAAGCAAAAATAAAAGCAGAACCGATGCCAAAAACCAGTGTTACACGTCGATCAGAATCTTGATCTCTTCAATCCGGCTTTGCTTTATCTCGCGCTGTCTTTTCGTTCCAAAAGCCCCTGCTGCAAGTTCTCGCTTCTTGTTCTGAATCTTGATCATATTTTCCTCCACGGAGTTTTTCACAATAAACTACAGAGGTAGACAGGCAACGAGGTTTATTGGAGGCTGTCAAAACGACTTGTAAATCACAAAACGGCAGCATCAGGCGCACACAGTCTCCACTCCTTGTCACAAGGATATCAAGCAAGATTAAATGAGGAATAAGACAGTAAGAGCATGGGAGTAGAAGTAGGCCATTTGGCCCATCGAGACCACTCCACCATTCAATGAGATCGCGGCTGATATGATAATCCTCAACTCCACTTCCCTGCTTTATCTCCATAACCCTCAATTAGAAATCTACATCAGCCTTGAATGTACTCAATGACCCAGTGTTGAGATTTACCTGTGGTAAAGAATTCCAAAGATTCATGTTCGCCTTGAAAATGAAGGAATATTCCTCATTCTGGTCTTAAATCAGTGACTCCTTACTCTTGAGATTATGGTCTCTGGTCCTAGACACTCCCACAAGGGGAAACAATCACTGTGCCTATTCGGCCTAAGAATCTTTTATATTTGAATAGGTCTCCTCCCATTCTTCTAAACTCCAATGAGTACAAGCCCAACCTGCTCAATCTCTCCTCATTAGAAAATCCCTCCAGCCTGGTATCAGCCTAGTGAACCTTCTCTGGACTCCCTCCTCCAATGCCAATATATCCTTCCTTAGACTAAAGGGGTCCAAACCCTTTCACAGTATTCCAGCTGAGATCTGACTAATGCCTTGTATAATTTCAGCAAAACCTCCCTACTTTTACACTCCATTCCTTTCAAAATAAAGGCCAACATTCTTTTTGCTTTCCCTATTACTTGCTGAACTTGGATACTGGCTTTTTGTGATTCATGCATTAGGAGCCCCACTTCCCTCGGTTTCTGAGCTTTCTGCAGTCCTTCCCCATCTAAATAATATTCAGCTCTTTCATTCTTCTGGCCCAAGAGCACAACCTCACATTTCCCCATATGCCATCTAAGTTTTTGCTCTCTCATGTAATCTGTCTGTAGCTTTCTGCTTTCTCCTTTCCCCCACTTCCTGCTCTCTCACCCAGTCAGTCAGCCTGAGGAACAGGAGTCAAATCTACAAATGCTTAGGCTCACCACATTTCTTTTCTGCTTGTTCTGGTCCAAGTAGGATCAATCTACTTTCACCCCACCCATGTTTAAATTTGTTCCAACCCTTTACTGGCTAGCTGAGCTGAGACAAGCTTTGCACCCTGAAAGCCTAAAACTCTATAACAGTGTAGCCTCTCTCATACCATAACAGTTTGCACAGCTTGCATTTATATGGCACCTTTGAAAATATAAATTATCTGAAGCTGCTTCACAGGACCAGTTTTGAACAATATTTGACACCAAATTACGTAAGGAGTTTGATGTCCAGCGAAAAAACTGAAGGGTTAATAGATATATTGAAAATGAGATACAGGGACAGCAGACAGTGAGAGACTTTGTACAGAAGAATATAACACTGTTTGTCACTGAGGAAGCTGCCAAGAACGAATCTAGCAGTACCAAGTCCGAATTAACCTGCCAACATAGATGAAGATGAAGATAGGGTCTGACCATATTGGCTAGATTTGGAGTGCTTTATTAAATCAGCACTTTTACATTTAGTTTATGATATGCTCAATTGTTAATTTTCTCCTCCCTTTTTGTTAGCAGAAAGATATGTCTATGAAATGGCTGCAAGTTCAAGTTCTGGCATATAAGATGGTCTGTATGAGGATAAAAGGGACAGGCAATTCAAGCTTTTGAAATCAACGGAGCCATTCACATGCAAAGTATTATTTATTTTGTGAAAATAATTGGCAAATGGAGTTGATTAAATGTTCAGTTTTTAGAAATAAATACAGAACTTTCATTCTCCTTGTCTCTATTTTCTAATTTTTTGTCTTCCACTGCTCACTCCTGCCTTTCTCTCCAGTAGCTCCAATGCTCTCTCTTGTCACTAAGCTCTCATTTGTCAATCCTTCTAGAATCGCTGTGTTCTGGTTTCTCTAACACCTCAAAGTTTCTCTGTTCCATATGCCTCTTCTGTTGCTCAGGTGGATATCTTTTAAATGTTAAAGCAAATCTAAATGATTATGTCTAACAAGCAACACAAAATGGATTTTATAAAGATGAAAAGGGTGCACAAAGGCATTGAGAGATAAATATAAAAGAGAGAACAGGGATGAGTAAATACGTGAAGTGCTGTTTCAGATCTCCAACATCTGCAGTTCTTTTGTCTTATTTAAACACTTGCAAGTTCAATGGCCTAGTGGTGCTAGATGCTAGCTTTTTGTGTTTCGTGCGCAAGTACTTCCAAGTCCCTTTATGTTGCAGCTTCTCTCCCAACATCAGGATAATAGAGTACTTTGAGACAAAGGCTGATTAGAGATGGCGTGTAATTGGTGACAGTAGTTAAGACTCTACAACACTGCATGTGAAGCCAATATTATCACAAATCCCATTGACTGCATTCACTGGAGTGTAGTCCAATGCTAAATAAAAACCGAAAGAACTGCGGATGCTGTGAATTTGCTTTTCCAGTATATTCTGTCTTTGTTGCAGTCCAATGCTACACAGAAAAAACTAAGCTGCTTTTATGAATAAATATTTAGCCGTCAGCTCTTTCGAGTTGAGCTAATGACGTACCTTGGTGATTATGACATCCCTGGTCTGACCCAGCCTGTGGCATCTGTCAAAGCATTGGTCCTCAGCAGCTGGATTCCAGGCCTGATACACAAAAAGGATAGTTACAGCACTGCGGGAACAGCACCATATCACAAGCATGCACAACATGACACACTGCATGACATAACCTGCTCAGTAAACAAGCCAAGCCAGCGAAGATCAGTTTAAAGGTGAAAGGCAGGAGGTTCAAGAGGGGTAGGGTTTGAGGAGTTCACCTAGTGGGTGGTAGGGGTCTCAAATACACTACCTGGGAGAGTAGTCGATTCAGGTAATCTCACAACGTTTAAAAAGGTACTCGCATGAGCATCTGAACTACCATACCTCTCAAGGCTATGAGCCTAATGCTGGAAAGTGGGACTAGTGTAGATTTAGTGTCGCTTTGGCTCAATGGGCCGAAAGGCCTCTACTGTATCATTCTATAAACATGCCAAGGACTATGCCTGCACAAAGTGAACACAACTACAAACCACAAAACACAGGCTTTGCCCCGTCAAACCCAATAACATCGTAAGCTCACTTTGCTATAAAAGAAAATTCACCCAAAAGTCATCCATAAATCTTTGTACAAGATGCAGAAATGAGCGTAATCAGTAGATTTTGAAGCAAGATCCTGGACATCTAGTTTACACTGCTCAGATCCTACAACTGCACTGGTGGAAGTCAGATTTTAATTATTATGAGTTTTCCCTTCGTTAGAGTTTACTGGTAGTGTCATTGTTACTGGGTTTAGTTGTATCATTTCACTTTAAAAATCTTATCAGTCATTTGCATGAAGAGGATTTCCTGTCTACGTGACCAGTATCACGTTGTTAACAGCCGTTCGAGGAGGGAGCAAGTAGTGACATGGGTTTTGCCCGCCCATGAAAATAAAGTCAGGTGATTTTTGTTTATTGGTGAAAAATCTCAGATTTCTATTCTGTTAAGACAAACAGTATCAAGCACCACATTTTACTGATGATCTGATGTATGAGATCTGGGGGAACTGAATGCAAGTTTTATTGTGACACAAGTGGGAGTCTGGATGTTAAGTAATAAAGCAACAGGAGCAGGCCCTTCAGCCCATTGAGCCTGCTTCCCCTACTCAGTTAGGCTGTAACTGATCACTGACCTCATTGTCCCTTTCCCACTGTACACCGTCATGGAAAAATGGCAATAGTAGTATTTTGGAAGCCAGGGGTATAAACGAGCTGCAGGACATTCTTCATCCAACTCCACCCCGGGAAAAGATGGCAATCCATTTTTTCCAGATTTCTTCTGTCACCTTCCCTCCATTAGAAGATCAGAAGTGGGGATGTTCACCAATGACTGCCCAATTTCCAGCACCATTCGCGGCTCCTCAGATCCTGAAGCAGTCTAAGTTCAAATGCAACAAGATCTGGACAATGGGCGGCAAGTGGCAAGTAATGTTCACATAAATGCCAGGAAATAACCATCTCCAATGAGAGACAATCTAACCATCGCACCTTGACATTCAGGGGCACTACCATCACTGAATTGACCAGAAACTCAACTGGACTCACCTCAGTGATTACCAGAGCAGAGGTCAAACGCTACGAATACTCCAGCGGTAACCCACCTCCTGACTCCTCAAAGCCTGTCCACCATCTAAAGGCACAAGTCAGGAGTGTGATGGAGTACTCCCCACTTGCCTGGATGGATGCAGCCCCAACAACACTCAAGAAGCTTGACACTATCCAGGACAAAGCAGCCGCTTGATTGGCACCACATCCACAAACATCCACTCCCTCCACCACCGACGCTCAGTAGCAGTAGTGTGTATTGTTTACAAGATGCAGAATTTCAGAAATTCACCAAAGAACCTCAGACAGCACCTTCCAAACCCACGACCACTTCCATCTACAAGGACAAGGGCAGCAGACATATGGGAACACCACCATCTCCAAGTTCCCCTCTAAACCACTCACCACCCTGACTTGGAAATACATCACTATTCCTTCGCTGTCGCTGGGTCACAATCCTGGAATTCCCTACCTAAGGGCATTATGGGTCTACTCACAGTACACAGACTGCAGCAGTTCAAGAAGGCAGCTTACCACCACCTTCTCAGGGGCAACTAGGGATGGACAAGAAATGCTGGTCCAGCCAGCGACATACACAACGAACAAAAGAACTTTACAGCACAGGAACAGGCCCTTCGGCCCTCCAAGCCTGCGCTGATCCAGATCCTCTATCTAAACCTGTCGCCTATTTTCCAAGGATCTGTATCCCTCTGCTCCCTGCCCATTCATGTATCTGTCTAGATACATTTTAAATGACGCTATCGCGCCCGCCTCTACCACCTCTGCTGGCAACGCGTTCCAGGCACCCATCATCCTCTGCGTAAAGAATAATCCTAATCTACTCAACCTCTCTTCATTGCTAGCGCGCTCCATACCAGGCAACATCCTGGTGAACCTCCTCTGCACCCTCTCCAAAGCACCCACATCCTTTTGGTAATGTGGCGACCAGAACTGTACGCAGTATTCCAAATACATCCAAGTACACATCCCACAAGAGAATAAAACTAAGTTAATTCAGGGTATGTGGTTATATATGTTTTAACAAATGGAGCCTCCTCCCACCTCAAGCCGCACCCCCATCTCCTACCTACTAACCTCATCCCGCTCCCTTGACCTGTCTGTCCTCCCTGGACTGACCTATCCCCTCCCTAACTCCCCACCTACACTCACCTTTACTGGCTCCATCCCCGCCTCTTCGACCTGTCTGTTTCCTCTCCACCTATCTTCTCCTCTATCCATCTTCTATACGCCTCCCCCTCTCTCCCTATTTGTTTCAGAACCCCCTTCCCCTCCCCCATTCTGGCCTAGAGGCCCGAAACTTCAGCCTTTTTGCTCCTATGATGCTGCTTGGCCTGCTGTGTTCATCCAGCTCTGCACCTGGTTGTCTCGGAATCCACGTAATGTCTAGTTCAGGGAGAGACAGGTGGATTCGGAACATTATACAACACTGCCTTTATTTAGTGTCTACTTAATAAAGCAGAATAGAAAATGCATCAAACACAGATTCTGCAGAAACAGAAAAAGTGGTGCTGGTGATAGCTGCGCAAACTCCTCACGTTAAGCAGGCCCAGAGGTTCAGCATTAATACTCACAGGGTCCATGAGGAACACACGAGAAGCTGCTGTTAAATTCAAACCAACTCCACCAGCTTTCAGCGACAGCAGCATGATGGTCGGGGAGCCTGGCTCACTGCTCTGGAAGGACTCGATGGCATTAATCCGCCGCTTCTGTGGCATCGAGCCATCCAAGCGTGTAAATGCAAAGCCTTCTTGTCTACAAAATGAAAACAAAGGCGCTGTAGGCAGATTATCCCTCAGTTAGACCTCGGGTCAACGACGACAAAGGACAGCCCCATTCTTAATAGTTTGTGATAGTTTCTGTTGCTGATAACGCAGAAATATATATAAAAGGTCAATCTGTAAACAATCAGCTTTACTAGATTAAAAAACACTAACTATTTACGCATTCTTTAGGTTGTAGGGCCATCTCCCAGCAACATGGTAAAACTTGATCCAACATCCAACAATTATCTACCACTGAGTTGTGAATCAAGGCCCAAACTAGCACTGCCATGCTGATCACACAGTGGCTGCAGTGAGACAGTTATCAGCTTGGCCTTACAGCCCAACAAAGCTGACTGACTGAACTTCCTCCCTTTAGCAACGAGGAACCCGCACAAGCCAAGCAGGGCTGGCTCAACGGTTAGCGCGGCTGCCTCACAGCACCAGGGACCCAGGTTCGATTCCACCCTCGGGCGACTGTCTGTGTGGAGTTTGCACACTCTCCCCGTGTCTGCATGGGTTTCTGCCAGGTGCACCGGTTTCCTCCCACAGTCCAAAGACATGCAGGTTGGCCATGCTAAATTGCCCCATAACGTTATGCAGGCTAGGTGGATTAACTATGGTAAAGGTGGGGTTACGGGGTAAGGTGGGAAGCTGTTAAGAGGGTCGGTGTAGACTTAATGAGCCCAGTGGCCTCTGCCTGCACTGTAGGGATTCTATGATTCTAAGTAAAAGTCAAATTTTAGTGAGTGGACAACGATCTGGCAAACAGAGTACAATGTGGGTAAAAGTGAAATTGTTCATTTTGGTAGAAGGAAAAAGGAAGCTTATATCGCAACAGGGAGAGGTTGCAGAGCTCTGAGATGCTGAGAGATCTGGGTGCTCTAATGCATGAATTAAAGGAGGTTAGTGTGCAGGTACAGCAAGTAATCAGGAGAGCTCATAGCATGTCATTTATTTTTATTGCAAGGGGAATTGAATGCAAGAGTTATGCTTCATTAATGAGACCACATTTGGAGTACTGTGTACAGTACTGGTCACTGTACTTACAGAATATTAATGCAAGAGAAGCAGTTCAGAGAAGGTTGACTAAACAGAGCAGATTGCCTAACAAGGAAAGGCTGGACAGCTAGGCCTGTATCCTTTGGAGTTTAGAAGAGTCAGAGGTGACTTCGTTGAAACACAAGATCCTGAGAAGTCTTGCTGGGTGGATGTGGAAAAGATGTTTCTTCTTGAAGAAGAATCTAGAACTGGGGGTCATAGTTTAAAAATAAGAGGTCACCTATTTAAGACAGAGATGAGGAAATATCTCTCAGAAGGTTGAGAGTCTTTGGAATTTCCTTGCTGAAAAGAAGTGAATGCAGAATCTTTAAAGACTCTTAAGGCAGAGGTAGACAGACTGTTGATCACCGAGGGGATAAAGATTATCGGGGGTATGCAGTAATGTAGAGTTGAGGATAAAATCTGATCAGCCATGATCTTATTGAATGTTGCAGTAGGCTGGAAGGGCCGAGTGGCCTGCTCTTGTTTGTTTGTTTGTACACTAACTCTGCATGGACAGGATGGAGAAGCCCTCATTGTTTTCTTCCCATTCACTAACCAAGGAGAAAGTGCTTCAAAACGAATCTCATACTCCACAGTTTATGAGAGTTACCGAATCTGTCCCATGGTATCCAAAGGTCCGATTCGGCATAATAAAGTCTGGCAAAGTTACCAAGTGGTTTCAACAAAGTATTACAGGAGTGCTTGATACAAGTACCTACACAGTACTTGTATTGTGGAGCCAATTCCACTTCACAGATTCCTAAAGTGTGTTCAGCCTAAAACTACAAAGTAATGACAGCCTGCAACATCCGATGGTGTTATTCCTGGGCTATCTCAGCCTGGGTAGCTGCAAGACAAGTTTCAACATCTTCGGAGGCAACACTCTAATGTTAAAACAGTGTCAGCTCCCAGCTTCTCACAGTAACACTGGACCTGGTTTCGGGAAATGAGCCCGGCCAGGTGAGTGAAGTTTCAGTGGGGATGCATTTCAGGACGAGTCACCATAACACCGTGAGTTTTAAAATACCCACGGGTAGGAGTAACAGCAGTCCTCAGGTGAAAAAGTGTTAAACTGGGGGAAGGCGAGCTACACCAATATTAGGCAGGAACTGGAGAATCTTGATTGGAGGCGCTGATTGAGGGTAAATCCAAATCGGATATTGGGGAGTATTCCAAACAGCAGTTGATAAGAGTTCCTGAGTTGCCCATTCCTGCGAGAATGAAGGGTAGGTATGGCAAGTTATGTGAACCTTGGATGACCAGGGCTGTTATGATCATGGTCAAAAAGAAAAGGGAAGCATACATAAGATCTAGGAGGATGGGAACTGATGAAGCCCTTGAAGCATATAAGTAGCAAAGAACTTAAATAAGGAATTAGAAGGGCTAAACAAGGACATGGAAAGTTGTTAGCAAACAGGATTAAGAAGAATCCCAAGGCTTTTTATACACATACAAAATAGATTGGATAGACTGGGCTTGTTTTCACTGAACGCAGGGGGTTGAGGGGCGACCTGATAGAAGTTTATAAGATTGTGAATGGCATGGATAAAGTTGAAAGTATGAGGCTTTTTTCCCCAGGGTGGAGAGGTCAATTACTAGGGGACACAGGTTCAAGGGGCAGGGTGGTGAGTCTAAAGGAGATGTGCGAGGCATGTTTTTTCACACAAAGGGTGGTAAGTGCCTGGAACGCGTTGCCAGAGGTGGTGGTGGAAGCAAACACAATTGTAGCATTCAAGATGCACCTGGACGAATACATGAATAGGAAGGGAATAGAGGGATACAGATCCTGTAAATGAAGAGAGTTTTAGTATGGAAGGGCAAAATGTGTCAGCACAGGCTTGGAGGTCTGAATGGTCTGTTCCTGTGCTGTTTGTTCTTTATTTCATTCACTCGAAAGCTAGACACATTCAGTGTAGCGCAGGGCATCGCAAAGTGGAGTGACTAGCTGAAATGACAGGGTTAGCAGGTGGAGCTCCTAACAGCTGCCAGGCCCCTTTAAATCCCTGCACTGTATTTTAAAATAAAATAATTGGCCAACCATTGAGGGTCAATTCCTGCTCACAGTAGCATTCTTCCCCTACACGCTCCCCCCCACCACCAC